ATATGCTGAAGAAATTTTCTTTTTCTCACTGGATTGTCTTGTGCCTTTTGTCAAGGATCAGTTGGTTGTATGTTTTGGGGTTTATTTGGGGTTCTCAATTCTGTTCCATGTTCTGTCTTTTTTTGTGACAATACCATGCTTTTTTTTAATTATCACAACTTCATAATATATTTTGAGGTTGGCAAGTGAGATACCTTATACTTTATTCCCTTTGCACAGTATGGCTTTGGCAATAAGTAGAGTGAGAAGATAATCTTCAGAGTGGGAAAATATATTTAAATTATACCTCAGATAAAGGACTGATAACCAGAATATATAGGGAACTCAAGCCACTTACCTGGGACTTTTATGCTTCTAGAAAAATTTTATGATTGAATTATCTATTTCTGTGAGAAATATCTCTGGTAGTTTGATTGGAATTGCATTGAATTTGTAGGTTTATTTGGGTTGGATTGTCATCTCGATTATATCAATTCCTCTAATTCAGGAACATGGGATATTTTTTTTTACCTTTTTAGTATCATTTTTCATTTCTTTTTTCAGTGTTTCATAGTTTTCCGTATAGAGATCTTTGACATCTTTGGTAAGGTTTATTCCTAGATATCTTATTGGTTTTTGTGGTTACTATAAATGGTATTTCTTTCTTCAGTTCTGTCTCAGTTTGTCCATTGTTAGTGTATTAAAAAAAAAAAACTATAGATTTTTGTACATTGATTTTGTGTCCTATCACTTTACTATATTCATTTATCACTTCCAAAAGTTTTCCATAGATGCTTTTGAATTTTCTATGTATAGCATTATATCATCTGCAAATAGAGATAATCTCACTTCTTTTCCTATTTGAATGCCTTTTATTTGATTCTCTTGTCTAATTGCATTGGCTAGAACTTCCAGTATGATGTTAAAAAAAAAAAAAAAGTGGAGAGGGGGACCAGCAGGTGGCATAATGACTACATCACTGGACTTCCAAGTGGTCAGACACAATTTGGGTCCCAGACCTGGTGCTTAAACTCATGCCGGGCACATGTGCATGTGTGCCTAGGATCCTGAGAGGAGAATGGAAGAGAAAGGATTGTGGGGTTGTGGTAAGGCCATCCCCCCTAGGGGGTGATTTCTCACTTTCTGTTTCTCTGTCTCTCTCTTTCTGGCAAGCGCACCCACCCTATAGCAAAAACCTCTAAAACCTAATAATAATTTTAAAAGGAGTGGAGAAAGCAAGCAGCCTTGTCTTGTTTCAGTTTTTGGTGGAAAGACTTTCAGCTTTTCCTCATTAAGAATGATGTTAGCTATGGGTTTTTCATAGATGGCTTTTATGTGTTAAGGAATGTCCCTTCTATGACAATTTTGCAGAGTCTTTTTTTTCTATTCTTTTCTTTATTTTTACATTTTTCCACAAACATTTACTTTACATATCAAAAAAATTTTGCTCATACTCCATAGTTCTTGACAGTTAATAAGCAACTTTCAAAATATTCAAAATGCTGAATCTTAAAGGTAATGTTCAAAATATTTCTTTTAATTTTGTTTGTGATTTTATAACAACAGAGACAGTATGATTTTAAATATTTTTGAGAAAACATTTACATGTCAGCTACTCAAATTGTTGAAAAGCAAATGCCCAGCACACAAGTCACACATAAACCTTCTCAATTCAGCCCTGTCTTCCAAGTATTCTGTGATATACCATCTGCTTGCAAAAATCAGTCTCTTTTCTTCCTTCAATGTCTTTCTCAAGATAATTCTCTGATGTAGTTGCTCTTTTACAATCTCTGATTACTGTGCTGGGCTGGAAAAGTCCAGATTATTTTCTGCTTTAAATTCTTTCATATATCTTCTCTAATTCTCTCTGCCATCCAGAGCTATTTATGATGTTGGGCCATCTTTCCCAGAGTTTCTGTTGGCTTACCTGAGACCTATCTTAGTTCCATAGTTTCCTGATTAATCTTCAGCTATGACATTCCAGTCAAAGTCCTGTCTAATAATGAGTATTTCCAATTTCTGATTCAATGCAACAAACATTATTGAACTTATACAAATAACCCTTCAGTCACAAAATAAGGATACTCCCAAATAGTTTCCAATTCCAGAGGGGTCAGGAAGGAAGACAAGTTTGTGCTTCCATTTAAATAAACAAACGAGAAAAAATATATATATATTTTTTTTTTTTTGGAGAGATTTTCGCTATAGGGCGCGTGCGCTCGCCAGACAGACAGAGAGAGACATTAGAGACAGAAAGTGAGAAATCACCGCCCAGGGGGGATGGTCACGCCACAATCCCTTCTCCTCCATTCTCCTTTCAGGATCTTGGGCACGCACGCACACGCGCCTGGCGTGAGTTTTAAGCCACCAGGTCCGGGACGCGAACCGTGGTCGACTACGTGGGAGTCCAGTGACATAGCCATTACGCTAACTGCTGGTTCCTATGAGAAAAATATTTTAACAAATTGCTTAACCTGTAAACAACTCAGAAGAAAGTAAAATGCTTAAATTAGGAAAACAAAGCATAGTGAAAAAAAATCAGTAATATTTTACTCAAAAGTCATAAAATTCTGTTTCGCCAGTTCAGTCTAATATTCACACTCTCTTCTGTTGAATACGCAGTGTTACTGTGGTCTGATATTTCTGTTTAAGTCTTAGAAGGTAACATTCAGCGTTATTACTGATATTTCTTGTCCCTAGCATTAAATTTGTTTTCTTGGTTGTTTATTGTTCTCTTATTTCTGTATGTATCTTTAGTTTTCCTGGTAGAGCACTCCTTTCAGAACTTCTTGAAGAGTGGGTCTCGTTTTGCAAATGCTTTTAGGTCTTGTTTATCTGAGAATGTTTTTATCCTTTCTTTCCAAATGAAAAATAATCTTGCCAGATATAGTATTCTTGGTTGAAACTGTCTTTCACTTAACACTTTGAGTATATGTTCCAATTCTTTCCTTGCTCACGTTGTTTCTTATGAGAGGTCTGAGGTTGGCCTGATTGGGTAAATTTTATAAGTAACCTGATGTTTCTCTCTTCCCAATTTTAGTATCTTGTCTTTGTCTATAGATTTGGCCAGTCTGGCTATGATGTGCCTTGAAGAAGATCTTCTTGGGTTGATTCTAATAGGGGTCCTTTGAATTTCTTGGCTCTGCATATTTGAATGCCTCTCTAGATTTGGAAAGTTTTCTCCCAAGATTTCATGGAATAGATTATCAATGCCCTTATTAGTTTCCTCACTTTCTGGGATACCTATTATGTGGATGTTGGGGTGCTTTATGCTGTCTAGTATTTCTTGTATAGTATTCTTATTTGGGGTTTTGGTGGTTTTTTTTTTTTTGGTTGTTTTTTCTAGATGAGAAGTTTTGCCTTCAACATCTGAGATTCAATTTTCTGCATGGACCAATCTGCTTTTAATACTTTCGAGGGAGGTTTTGATTTCCTGAATGGAAGCCTTCATCTTGAATAGCTCCGTTTGATTTTTTTTTTTTTTTATGGTGTGTATTTCCTCTTTCAGACCGTGGAAGAACATCAACACTTCCTAGAACTCGTCTCTTTTCTCCTGCATCTTTTGGAGTTCATTATCTCTCAGCTCTTGCATTTCATTTAGTTTTATCACTATGAATATTCTGAATTATCTATCAGACATTTCCATGAGTTCTACTGTACTGTCTGTGGATGATGAGGGATTGTTCTTTACCCTTAGGGGAGAGATATTTTCTTGATTGCTTATGTTTCTTGTGCCCCTGTGGTTGTTTCCAGTCATTTTGTGACAAAATCTCTCCTCCACTGTGCTTTGCAATGTGGTATCCAAAAAATATTAGGAAATCAGATTTATAAAAAGAAATTTATTTCTTAAAGCAAGAGGTTCAATAAACATCAAGGATTTTAAAGACTCCAAAAATATTAAGATGCTTGTCTACTGTGCACCTAGGCTTATCTAGGCATTCAGTGTGTGGAGATTGAAGTTTAGAGTACAAAAGTAAGGTTAAAAAATATAAGCAAAAAGAAAAAAACTAGAAAAATATTACCAAAAAAAGAGTTAAAAAAATTTTTTTACACATAAAAAATGAAAACTGTACAGTGGCCAGGACTCACCTCAGCTTTAAAATGGCTTCTGGAATTAGCAAGTGAAAGAAAAGTCCCAAGGTGAGGAAAAGTGGTTGAAAACTTAAATAAATAAATAAAAATTTAAAGAGAGAGGGCGTGAGACAGACAGCCGGACAGAGAGAAGATGGAGGTCACTCTACCTTGTCTGAATATTACAGGAGTCTAGAAGATAGAATTTATAGCATAGCTTCCCTAAACAGATCAGGACACACCGCAACTTTAAAATAGCTTCTTGTCTGAATATTTCTGGAATATAGAAGATGGTGTTTAGACCATAGCTTCCCTGATCAGGCCAGGACACACCTCCGCTTTAAAATGGCTTCTTGTCTGAATATTTCAGGAATCTAGCTGCTGCCATCAGTTCTTGAAGTCTGTTAGTTGACAGTCCGTCCCAAGTCACCTCCCACTTGCATCCCATTCCCTTCTCTTATCCTATCCTGAACTTCAGTGTATACGCAGGAAGGCAGACCCAGTATAGCAGCAAGAGAACACTCAAGAGACCACAGTAATCAGTCAGTGAGTAGCATAAGCTGTATCCTCTATGTCCAAAAAGGAGACAGGGCCTTTGGGTACCCTACAGATGGCTACAATTAGAGATTCCAAACCCAAGTTAGTGTGGGTATGGAATATATCTCTCCTATTTGATGAAACTTATGTAAGCGATGACCTCAATTTGTTTTAAAAAGTAAAAAACAAAATTATCAAAATAGAACATAGTATTTGGTTCCATGCCTATCTTATCTAACACATTCAGTACTCAGGAAATACAGTTAGCCTTGAGCTGGGTTTGTGCTTAATGGATGCTGGTAGAGAGGTAGATATGATGTTTGACCTGCCACTTTCTCCTGCAATTTCATAGTTTGGGAGCTCATTCTCAAGAGGGATAGGTGCTCCAGCTGGGATGTGAGTTTCACTCTCACCTGATCCTCCCAGAATCATCCTCATGTAGTCTGGGTCATAAATTTGTAGAAGGACCTTGCTCCCCCATAGCCAACGAGGACAGGCACTCGGGAACTTTTCTACCCATTTCAGAATCTGTTGTAGCTCCTGGTCCTTATGAAACTGTCACAGAAGGAGTGAAAAAGGCAGATTAGAGCATGAAGAAGATTGAATCTCAGATGTAGAAGACAAAACCTCTGACTTGAAAATCCATTAAACACCCAAACATCCAGATAATCAGTATCCCAGAAGGTGATGAAAGTAATAAGGGCATTGATAATGTGTTCCATGAAATAGTGGAAGAAAACTTTCCAAAACTAGAGAGGCACTGAATACCCAGACCCAAGAAATACAAAGAACTCTAAATACAATAAACCCAAGAAGATCTTCTCCAAGGCAGATGATAGTCCTATTGCCAAAAATACAGACAAAGAAAAGATACTAAAATTAGCAAGAGGGAACCACATTTCTCTTTTAAAAATGTTTTAAATTTATTTCTTCAGTAAGAGAGAAAATAAGAGTAAGCAAGACAATATCCCCAGTAGGACTTTGACATTGTGATCCATCCTGTTTCACCCAGGCCTACTCTTGGATATGTGCTTGCCTTGTATACTCAGAAAGTTCTCTGGATAGGAAGCAGCAAACTTCGCAGCTGGGATTGCATCACAGAAGCTATTTTACCCTCTGTGCCACTGTCTGACATCCAGTAGATACTTAACTTATATGGTTATCACTTGCATTCTAAAGGTAGAATGTCCCAGGGCAGATCGTTCTATTCTATTAACAGAGACTAGATGTTCTGAACTGTGTGATGACCTGGGCTGAGATCCAATCTCTTGCTGTCTCCTTAGGACTTTGACCTAAGATCAGATTGTTTCTGTCCCTAGTTGGACATGACTTTACAACCTTATATGATAAGCGCTTTGTAAATGTTCAGGAATTGACTCCATTGTGCACACAAATTTTCACAGACTTACATTAAGGATATGGGACAATTGTGTTCCCCCTAAAATCACATGTTGAAGTACTAAACTTTAACCCTTAGAGTGCGATCTTATTTGGAGATTGGTTCTTTACAGAAGTAATAGAGCTGAACTGAGATCGTTGTGGTGGGTCCTAATCCAATTGTACTGGTATCTTTACAAAAATGGACTAATTGGGCAAAGTTACATACCCAGAGAAAGGACCATGTGAAGAAGAGACAAAGAGAGAAGAAGGTCATTTCTAAGCCAAGAGACAGGCCTGGAACTGATGCTTCTCTCTGAACCCACAGAATAAACCAACCTTGCTGACACCTGGAATAGAGACTTTCAGTCTCCAGATCTGTGAGACATTGAATTTTTGTTGCTTTATCCACTTAATCTGGTTCTTGTCATGGCAACCCAAGTAAAGCCATGCAGTTATGTAATGCTGAAAGCAAACTTGTCATTAGGGAGAGATTATTCCTTTATACTGTTCCAAAGAAGAATGAGAAAATTAACATTAAGTGATAAGCTCAAATGAGCTGCACAAACATCTGGCGCTGCTGACCCCACTGTGTCATTTCCCTGCATCCCATCGCTTGCAATGTGCCTCCATTATCATGTTTCAACTCAATGTGTTCTAATCGCTAGGCACCATTTACCTAGAGCCACCTTTAGTATATGTCACTTCTGTGTTCTTTAAGCCCAGAATGGAGCATTGTTCATGGGAATCACACCTTATCTTTAAAGGAATGAGTAAGTGCACGAGGAATGGATTGGTACATGAAGGAGAGGGAATGAGTGAGTCTTTACTAAAATTCTTTTTTTTCTTTCTTTGGAGAGTTTTTTGTTGTTGTTGTTGTTGTTGTTTTGTTTGTTTGTTTGTTTGTTTTTGCTATAGGTTGCATGCACTTGCCAGACAGAGAGAGACAGAAAGAAAGCGAGAAATCACCCCCCAGGGTGGGGATGGCCACGCTGCAATCCCTTCTCCTCTATTCTCCTCTTGGGATCTTGGGCAAGCACGCACACGCGTTCGGCATGAGTTTAAGCCACCGGGTCCGGGACTCAAACTGTGATCGACTACGTGGGAGTCCAGCAACATAGCCATTGCACTAACTGCTGGTCCCCCTTTACTAAAATTCTTGAAAGAAACAGAAATAATCATGAGCTTACATACGAAAAGGAAAAACAAGAAGTCTAGTGCCTAGGGGTATTTCACGTAGCTCAAGGACAGGTAGTAGACAAAATGCAGAGGGAACAGTACCAGGGACTGAAGAGCTGTCTGGATCCTGGGTCTCTCTTCATTACTTCCATAAATGTGTTCATTTATACAAGAACTATTTTTTAATTCCTGGTATGTACCAGGCAATCAGGCAATTTTCTGTAAGCTGGAATAGCCATGCATTAAAAAAAAAAAAAAAAGAAAGAAAGAAAGAAACGCTGAATTTTTGTATCTTAAATTTGTGTGGTATTGATAGGGGCGATTTTAACCTCCTGCATTGACTGGCTACCATTCCACCACTGGTTTGTTTCAGCGGCACTACCAAATTGTATTCAGAGTCTAATTTTCACAGCATTGCCAAGGTGTCTACCTGGTTCAATTTACTACAGCTGGCCTAAATGTCCATCATTGGATCTTCCCTTCTTCTATTATCACATGTTAGGACTAGCCAGTGGGAACCTCTGTCACACACCTAAAGTAGTCAGCTCAGCAAGACTTGGGAAGTCTGTTTCAGCAGAACAGGATGTTTGCTTTCTTTCTGTTTTTCTTTTTCTTGTTTTGTGTTATTTTGTTTTAGGTTTTTGCCATTGTGGATGTGTGCTCACAGGAGAGACAAGAGAGAGAGAATGAATGTGAGAAATCACCCCCAGGGGGATGGACAAACTCTAATCCCTTCTCCTCTATTCCACTCCTTGGATTTTGGACCAACATGTACATGCGCCCAGAGTGAATTTTAAGCTGCCAGATCCAGGACTCGAACAAACCACTCCTGAATGACCTCACAACCAATGAAGAAATTAAGACTGAAATCAAAAGTTTCATTGAAACTAATGACAATGAGCACATGAGTTTCCATTACTTATGGGATACATCAAAAGCAGTTATGAGGGAAGTTCATTGCAATTAGTGTGCATTAAAAAAAAAAAAGATGGAAAGTTGGCAAATAAACAAGCCAAAGACACACCTCAGGAAATTGGAAAGACAACAACAATAACAAAACAAAACCAAAAAAAAATGCCAAGAGAAAAGAAATAATAAAGATCTGAGACAAATAAACAAAATAGGGAATAAACGAACTATTCAGAAAATAAATGAAACCAAAAGCGGGTTATTTGAGAAGATAAACAAAATTGACACACTATTGACTAGACTAATTAAGAAGAGAGAAAGGAGGGACCAGCAGTTAGCATAATGGCTATGTTGCTGAACTCCCATGTAGCCAGCTGCTGTTCGAGTCCTGGAACTGGTGGCTTAAACTCACGCTGGGCGCGTGTGAGTGCGTGCGTGTTCAAGATCCTGAGAGGAGAATGGAGAAGGGATTGCGGTGTGGCCATCCCGGGGGGGGGGGTGATTTCTTGCTTTCTGTCTCTCTCTGTCTTTCTGGTGAGCGCATGTGCCCTATAGCAAAAACATCTCAAAAAAAAAAAAAAAAATAGAAGAGAGAAAGGAACTTCAATCAGCCATGTGGGTGCCCAGAACCTTAAACACCACACCACCAATTGACCCGTTTGGTTAGTTTGTGTGTGTGTGTGTGTGTGTGTGTGTGTGTGTGCGTGTGTGTGTGTGTGTTCTCTTTTTAAGAGGTTTTCACCTTAGGGCTCATGTGCTCTCCAGAGAGAAAGAAAGAGTAATCTGAAATCCCTACTCCTCCTCCTCCTCCATGGGCACACATGCACATGCGCCCAGTTTGATTTTCGAGCCACCAGGTAGGGGACTCAAACCATGATCAATCAATCATATGGAGTCCACTGATGTAAGTACTAAGCATTCTGCTGGTCCCTTTGTGTTTTTTCAATTGATAGTGCATGTGCTTGCCATAGAGATACAGAGAGAAAGAGATAGAAGGGGAGAATACTTGTTCTTATGGGACATGGTCACACTGAAATCCTTTCTTTACCACTTCTTAATTCTCTCGGGATTTCTGGCATGCACACACTCATGATCATGTCATGCTTTTTAAGCCTCCAGTGCTGGGATTTGAATCATGGTTGATCAAGAGAGATCTAGTTCCCTTAACCACTAGGCTATGGGGCCAACCCTAGCATATTTCTTCTCTGGCTGAGGTGATCACACAAGTCAGTTCTTTGTAAATCCTGTTTCTGGGAGCAATCATCAGTGTTCTTCAGGAACCCCACGGGGCTAACCCATGTTCTGTCTACCCGTTCCCCGCTCCAGGTACTCAGATGCATCCTAGCCTATTAGATCCTCATAAACTTGTTGAGGTTGTCACCTGACCCTGAGCAGCTATGGCTAGAGACACCTGAATCTTGTGGAGTAGGTGGTCCATATGGTGGGAGTGCTGGTAACCTAGTAAGCAAATATACAGTGTCCATCTGGCCCCAGGCCATGTCCATACCATGTAGGCCATAGTCCAAGGAGCTGTTCTCACCTGAATGTCCCTGGGAATTGCAGCCACCATGCAATTTCCATAATTACAGGTGTGTGTGTGTGTGTGCGTGCGTGCATGCATGCACATGCACAGGGAGGTAGGTGTACACGTAATAACGGAGCCTGCACTGGCAATCATGAGGTATCATGGGCTCAGTCAAACTAGTAGGTTTGCCTGAGACAGGAAGAAGGACAAGGAGACACATGAGTTGTTTGGGTTATTTCACTTCCAAGGTTCTGGGGTCTGCATTTCACAGACCCTGTCAGATTTTACTCTATTTCATGAAGTATATTTGTTATGCCTACAAAGTACTTATCTCCCATAAGCATTAACATTACTATATTCTAAGTTTATTCATTCATTTCTCCCATGAGGAAGAGGAAGAGAGAGAGAGAGAGATCAACAACAGGGTTTTACACTGCAGTTTTGCCTATCCCTAAATCAACTCCAGATCATTGGCTAGTACAGGATTAGCAGCCTCAGGGAAGATCCTGGATTTGAGCTAGGTAACTTCTCACATTGTATTGTCTTACAGGGTGTTGTATTTTACCACTGCACTCCCCTCTGAACCTGAAGTGAACATTATTTTTAATTCATACAAATGATAGTGAGTACAACTATGCTCTTTGCTCTGTGCTAGAACCATCCTAAGCTTATCATACCCCACTGGAATATTGTGATGATTATTATTTAAATTTAAATTTAAATTTTTAAAAAATATTTTTAAAATTTCATTTTCTTTTATACATTCAATCATGTTATTTAGCTTACAAAGTGAATATTTCCACATGTGAACATTTCTCCCTAGTCCAGTTGATAAAACCATAAAATTATCTTCAACAGATAATAAATACATTTCTTTGTCCCATAAATGCTTTGCTTCTCTATTTTTTCTTCTAAACGTTCTTCCTCAGACTCTACTCTTTCACACATACTATATCTGTTATTCACATCCATTTACTGTGTTCTATAACCTTTAGTCAATCAGTTTCAGTCATAAAGTGCAGACACTCGGTATATATTAAGTGGGGACATCAGTTCCTCTCACAGATGAGGATACAGAGGCATGTGGTGGGTATTTAACGTATGTGGCAGAGCTGAGCTATGAATCTAGGGAACCTGGCAAAAGAGACCATACTCTTTATTGGCCAAGATGGGACTTGTCATAGGGCCTGAAAGATGAGTTTTGCCTAATATAGGTGACATTCTAATCCTTGACTTAGTTAAAGACAGAAATAGTTAATAAAAACATCAGATAATAGTATAAAAGCTGGCAACATTTGGCTACAGTTGCTATTGGGCAAGCAGAACTTAGATGTATCAGCACTGAGAATCATATTACTTATATAGTGCAAACTATCTACTTGAATCTTCGTGTCATCTAAAAGTCATCCACGTAATAGGAATATCCTTGGAGGAGCTTTTAGTTGTTCCTTATGTCAAATGCAGGCTCAGAAAAGTGACCACCACATCAAACAAAAGGTCATCATAAATCATCTAAAAGTCATTAACACCACAATTTGCATGAAGAAACTAGGCTGGCATTGTCTGCCTATGGCTGGCACCAATGTTTCCTGCTTCAGCTGCACTCTGCTGGAATGGCTTAGCCACCTTCTTTGAGACAATAGAGGTCTCAGCCCTCTGCAAGTCTCCCATCTGCAGATGGTATTGAAATCGCAAACCTTGGTGGTCTGCAGTCCCAAACTATGCTGTTCCCACACCCAGTGCTGTCAGTGCAGAAGGGAGACTCTCCATGTCCCCTAGTCCTTGAGCTACCGTTTTCTCTCCTTTCTCTTTCTGCACACCTGAGCCAAGAGCCCCTCTGTGCCCAACTCTTTGGTGGAAACTGGGAACAGAAATGGGATGATACAATGACTCCTGTGGGCTCTGAGTCTAGGGTATATAAGAAGCAAACTGGCAGTAAACAGACCCTGTTTAATGGACAATTCAACATGAGCAGCTCTAGCATTCAAGGTATTGACAGGCCAACCTACTCAGGGACCCATGAAAGTCAGCTTTCAGCACTGACTAACTCCTGGAAATTAGATTATCTCAGGGAAACTGAGCCAGCTGGTCTCCTGCGCCTAATATCACCACCCCACCACAATAGACTAACATCCTTTCTGTGACATGTCTGCTTAAATTCTTGTCTCTGGCATCTGGACCCTGTGAGCTTCACATGGCATGTGTTCTCTGATGTCTGTGTTCTCAGGCAAAATCTGGGATGAAACTGAGTGACTGGGGCAGAGGAGTATCTAGAAACCAAACAGCTGATGTTGCTGGGGGTAACCAGCCTAGATACATAGGAACCCAGGAAGAACCAAGCATTGCCAAACAAGGGCAGAACTACCAACATAGTGTCAGTTAACCTAAGGAAGGAGTATGTGAAGGGCTGAGTAACTGCAGGACTAGCTTCTGGTAAGACAGTGGGCTCCCTGTTGCTGGGATGAGTCCAGACCTGGGAGGTAATTGGGTGTGCCTCAAGGACCACCTATTGGTCACACCAAGGCTTTCTCCTGTGGACTTGCTAAGCAGCCTCTCAGAGTCCAGCCTCCCCAACCCTCCTTACCTCCTACCTACCTCATGGTTGTGCCCGTAGAGCCAGTGAGAAGGAGGGGATGGGAACTGCTGGAGGGCTCTGAGCAGCCACTGCCTGTGCAGGTAGAACTGGGCTGCCTTGAGCAGCAGCAGCAGCAGGCCCAGCAGAAAGGCCCCTTGGAGGAGCCTGGACAGGCCACCTGAGATGCTGCTGAGGCTCAGCAGAGAGATGCTCATGGTGCAGTGAAGGGCTCAGGACCACTGTCTGCCCCTGACTGTCACTGACTGCCCCTGATACCTGCCCAGTGCTGGGGGTTTGCTCCGCCCCCTTAAGGGGAGGGGAGGGAGAGAGTATTTGGAGCTCAGTGTTCAGGGGTGATTGACCCAAGGTCCTCCTTAGGAAACTGGAGAGGAAATCATTATCAGTGGACAGTGGTTATGGCTCATACAGAACCACATCCTACTCTCCTTATTTATTACTCACAGGTATTTCATACGCACCTACTATGTGCCAGGCAGTGTGCAAGGTGGCTACACACAGCTGCAGGGAGAACAGACGTGACCCCCAACAGCAAGGAATTCACAGCATAGTTGAACAAATGCTCAGGTCTGGCTCATTTTTATTTTTACCCAAGAAACTAAACACTGAGAGATATAGTGATGTGTTCGGAGAAAGACAGCCATTGAGAAGTTGAGGAGGAATTAGTCCCTGTGGGACTCCTGCATTGCCTTCCAAGTTGCCTCTGAAATGTTCTGGGCTGGTCCCATCCTCTGCTCTGTTACGACCCAGTGCCTGTGCTGGTGGATGGCGCTCAGGACTTGGACTCAGGAGGGCCGAGTCTCAGTCTCACGGCACAGAGATCCAGCAGTTCTTGCCCTCTGAGCCTCAGCTTCTTATGTAAAATGGGTTAGTAATTCCTCTCTTCAGTACCTCATAGAACTCCCTTTTACTCACTCACTCATTCAGTGAATATTCCTTGAGCTCACAGTCTAGTGGGTAAAAGCAGAAAATAAGTCAGGAAATTAAATATAATAAGGCTTTCCTGGGGGGGAAAAAAAAACTGAAATGTCCACTCTGGGAAGAAAACGTCTAAGAAGACAGAAACCGACCAAAGATGAGAAAGAAGAATCATTGGGTCTTACAAGAGTCCACCAGGTAGAGCGTGGGAGGTAGTGGAAGGGACACCAGCAAAGTCTTGAGATCACACGTGAAGGAACAAGGGAAAGGTCCATGTTCATTGTCAAGTCCCTGCCCTCACTTTTCATGATGATCTCCCATCAGATCAAATCCAAAGCCCAGAATTCAGAAAGAGATGTTTCAGAAACAATCTCACACCTGCCAGCCCATCCAGAGTATGAATATTCTCTAGTCCTGCTCCCTCACCCACCTAATGTCTCACTCCCAACACCCTCCTCTGCCTGACCTGCTGACCAGTCAGTCATTACATAACCCATAGGTCCAGAGTCCCATTCTTTCCCCCTAAATCTTGGATCCTGTCCAAGACACAGGCAGGGGGACATGCAACCAATAATACCCCATTTCCCTTCTTCCCCCTGCTTCCACCACCATGGATTCTTGGCCTCTGACTTTTTCCCACCTAGGCTCAGCACCCACTTTTTACCCACAATGTGAGGGGCAGTGTGGGAGGCAGCTGCACAGTCAGATAGCCTGGTTTTGATTTCTACATGTGATTCTTTCCTCACTGAGTCCTCAGTTTCTTCTTTGTGTGTGTGATCCTAATGCAACAACCACTTTCAGTGAGCACTATGGTCTAGGTACCTAGCAAGTAACTTTCCATGCTTTTTCTCACAAATGATTTTTTATAAAATAATTATTTATTTAATTTTATTTATGTATCCACTTTATTTTAATTTGACCAGAGGGAGAAAGAGAAAGAAAAAGAGAGAGAGAGCGAGCGAAAGGGAGAGAGAGAGAGAAAACTGTGGTTGTCCACGAGGGAGTGTCTAGCATCTTAAGCACCATACCACCTGCTGGTTCTCCCCTAAAAAAAGTTTTTAAAAAGATCTCATACTGTAGATGAAAAGAATGGGATTAAGAGATTAGTGTGTCCACAGTTTCCTGTTGGTAAGAGGTATAGCCAAATTCTGACATAACCACTCTGGCTCCAGAACTATTGCAGTTAATCATTCACATTATGACAAGATAACTTGGCGATCCTCCAGTCCAAATGGCATCCCCTAAACTCTCCAGGGGCATTTCTTAATTGGTGTGTTTTATCCAACGTCTCCAAGTATTAGGAAGGTGGGTCAGATATCAACTGCACATGTTGACGTAAATGCAAGCCTCACTACACAGGGCATCTCATGTGGTCAAATGTAGCCTAACCAATAAAGTGATGTTCTTTGGGAATTTTAGTCATATGAGTAATGCTGATGATAAGTGATTAAAGCAAAATATATAGCTGTAGGTAGAGTATAAACTGAATTTTTAGAAAAATTGAGCATGGCATCAAGAATTATTAACGAGTAAGTATCTTTCCCATTTGTTTGGTATCTAGACACTGGCACCAGTGACTCCCAGAAAGTTGGAGCTGCACATTCTATGTACTTTCGATCCATATCCTATGGCACAGAGGACTGCCTATAGTTTTGATAACCAGTAAATATCTACTGGAATGAGTAAGAAAAGTAATGATTAATTTTTGGACCAGGTAGGTCATCATTGGGAATCAAATAAGTTCATTTTGGGGTACTAATTTTTTAAAATTTTTTTGTTATCGGGCATGTGTCCTAATCAGAGAGAGAAAGCAAGAAATTCAGAAAGAAAAAGATGTTTCAGAAATAATCTCTCAACAGCCAGAATATGAGTATTCATATTACATCCAGAATATATGAGTATCCTCCAGCCCTGCTCCCTCATTCAACTAACATGTCACTCCCAACACCATCTTTTCCGTATCTGCTAACCAGTGAGTCATTACATAACCCATAGGTTCAGAGTTCCATTGTTTTCTCCTAAATCTTGAATCTAGTTCAAGGAACAGGCAGGGAGACATGCAACCAGCAGAGATTTCCACAGCACAATCCCTTCTCTCCCAGTCTCCTCTCAGAATTTTGGGCTCTTAAGGACACATGCCTCATGTTCTGTTCAACCCACTGGGCCTGAGGCTCAAACTGCACAGCCAGTCATATGGGATCCAGTGCCTTAAACTCCATGCCACATTCTGGCCCCACTGGGTACCACTTTTTACAAAGGAAATCAATATTTTTTTATTCCTGGACAGTTCCTGGTTATAGGTGATAAAGAAGCAGAGGTGAGGTCAGTCATTCCCATGGTGGCAACTCAAAGAAGCCAGTCATCTGAGAAATCACTCCAAGCTCTTGTTTTCTGATCCATTTGAGTTGGATGCTGAGGCATTATTAATTATTTTACTTATTTACTCATCCATTGTCTTAGTCTGTTGGTCTGTTAGTGCATTACTAACAGTAATAACTGAGAATGGGAAACTTATGAAATTAGAGATTTATTTAACTCATGGCTGAAAAGTCCAAAGGCATAGGAAAATGGTGGAAGGCAGTTGCGTTGGTTCTATGTCTTAGCAATTGTGAATAGTGCCGCAATAAACATTCATGTGCAAACACTTTTCCGATTAAGAATTCTTCTGGGGATCAGCAGCAGTTAGTGTAATGGCTATGTCGCTGGACTTCCATGTAGTCGACCGCAATTCGAGTCCTGGACCCGGCAGCTTAAACTCACACCAGGCGTGTATGCATGTGTGCCCAAGATCCCGAGAGGAGAATGGAGGAGAAGGGATTGCGGTGTGGCCATCCCCCCAGAGGGTGATTTCTCGCTTTCTGTCTCTCTGTCTCTCTCTGTCTTTCTGGCAAGCGCACATGCCCTATAGCAAAAACCTCTCCAAAAAAAAAAAAAGAATTCTTCTGTCCTTTGGGTAGATAGCAAGGCGTGGGATTACTGAATCGTATGGTAGTTCTATTTGTAGATCTTTAAGGAATCTCCAAACTTTTTTCCACAGTGGCTGGACAAACTTACAATCCCACCAGTGTAAGAGAGTTCCCCTTTCATCACACCCCCACCAGCACTTACCATTTTTTTTTTTAAATCTTAATCATTCTGACTGGGGTTAGGTGGTATCTCGTTGTTTTGATCTGCATTTCCCTTACAAAGAGGCATATTGAGCATTTTTTCATATGCCTTTTTGCTATCATATGTCATCCTTAGAGAGTGTTTTTTGTTTCAACTCATTCTCCCATCTTTTAATAGGGTTGATCATCTTTTTTTCCAGAACAGCTACTTGAGTTCCTTGTGTATTCTGGTTGTCAATCCCTTATCTGACGTATAGTTTTAAAAAAATATTCTCCCATTCTGAGGGCTGTTGTTTCACAGTAATTACTGTGTCTTTTGCCATGCAGAAGCTTCTTAGTCTGATGTAATCCCACTTGTCTGTTTTGGGGATTATAGACTGTGTTTTGGAGGTCTTATTTAAGAAATCTTTGCCTACTCCAATGTCTCCCAGAGTTTCCCCAGTGTTTTACAGGAGTAGTTTTAGAGTTTGGGGTCTAAGGTTTAGATCTTTGATCCACATTGAGTTGATTTTTGTCAATGGTAAGAGGTAGGGGTTCAGATTCATCTTTCTGCAGGTGGAAATTCAGTTTTTCCAGCACCATTTGCTGAAGAGGTTTTCCTTTTCCCAGTGGATTGACTGGTAGCCCTTGTCAAAAGTCAATTGACTGTATGTTTGGGAATTGATTTCTGGGGACTCTATTCCGTTTCATTGGTCCACATGTCTGTTTCTCTGCCAGTACCATGCTGTTTTGATTACCATAGCTTTGTAGTATATTTTTTGGTCAGGGAGTGAGATGCCACCCACTCCACTCTTCTTGTTCAGGATTACTTTGGCAATACGGGGTCTTTTATCATTCCAGACAAATTTTATGATTATCTTTTCTAGATCTTTTCTGTCTGGTACTTTGATTGGGATTACATTAAATATGTAGATTAATTTGGGTAAAATTGCCATTTTGATTATATTAATTCTTCCAATCCAGGAACATAGGAACATGGGATGTCCTCCCACTTTTTTGTGTCATTTTCAATTTCTGTTTTTAGCTTCTCGTAGTTTTCCTTGTGGAGGTCTTTACCTTTTTTGTTTAGATTTATTCCTAAGTATCTTATACTTTTTGTGGCTATAGTAAATGGAATAACTTTTTTCAGTTGTATCTCAGTCTACCTGCTGTTTATATATTAAAATGCTATAGATTTCTGTATGTTGATTTTATTCTCTTTTCTGATTGCATTGGCTAGGACTTCCAGCA